TAAGTAGTTTTCTTCGTATGTGTAGTCAAGTGTTCGTTGAATCTAGATTCTAGACGTTCTAGGTGGCTGATTAATTAAGCGCTTTGGGCGGACGTTTACTTGGACGCCTAGAGCGATTTTTAGAACATTACTCTTAAATAATAATTTAATCGTCAAATGCAAAAAATAATGTATCTATAATATCACAATTATCATTAACAAACTTATTATATTATATATTCATCAATATTATATCTCAAAATAAACTCGAATCAATTCTATAACTGTATTATTTTTGTAATATACTCCGTCAAACTTAAGCCGAGACGAAGTGTATTTGACTATTTTGTTTAGAGTTAATTATCAAAATAGGACTAAAAGTCATTCACTTTGCACAAATAGGACCAAAAAATAAACTATGTTTCCATAGGACTAATTATGTTTGTCTTAGACAAATATACCCTTATACCTATTGGAATGTTTTAATTCATAATAAAATAATAAAAAATAATGAAAATTCGTAAAATATACCAAAAAATTTAAAAAAAAAAATTTAAAAAAATAAAAAATAAAAAAAATTAAAAAATATATCAAAAAAATATTTTTTTTGTCACCGCCGCCTATACCGCCCCAGCACCACCACATCTAGTCATTTGGGGAAAAAATGCCAAATTTATTATGAATTCCATATTTTCGGCATAATTCAGAATGATTTAAGATGGAAGAAAAAAAAATGTTGGCATTCTCAAAGAGAAATATGCCATATTTTTGGCATTTTCCGAAAAAAATGGAAGTTTGTAGGAAATATGACATTTTTTTTAACGGTCGGAGGTGGTGGTGCAGGGAGGCGGTACCACCACCTCCTGTCACCGGGGTAAAAAAATGCCAAAAAAATTATGAATGCCATATTTTTGGCAAAAGTCAAAAGGATTCAAGTTGGCAGAATGAAAATGTTGGCATTCTCATAGAGAAATATGCCATTTTTGTGGAATTTTAAAAAAAAGTGACATTTTTTACACCGATCGGAGGTGGTGGTTCAGGGAGGTACTACAGGCGGTGGGAAAGGTATCCATATTTTTTATAATTTTTTTTATGGAGTTTTACTATTTTTTTTATTAATTTTCAAAAAAAAAATTAAAAAATTTTTTTTCTTATTTTTTATTTTATAAAAATTTTATTAATTTTTTTATTATTTTTCTACGAATTATTGAAATTTTTTCGAATTTATTATGAATTAAACATTTAATTATGACTTTTAGCTATCTTTTACTAATATTTAAAGGAGGGGTAAGAATGGAAGGAAGAAATGATTATGTTTCCAATAGGACCACTATGGTCCTATTTTGGAAAAAAAACATAGCAAGTCCTATTTTGAGTTTTTGCCATAGTTTTAGTCCTAATTGAAGTAATTTCTATTTTGTTTATGATTCAATGAAATGTATTTGTGATATGAGCAGTCATTTAAATTTTTATTACTACATTCGTTTGGCTTTGTGTACAAAGTACTGGCTGTACTGCAAGTGTATTTACTTAAGTTTACCAATTTTTTTATCCAAGTTTACTAGACAAAAATAGAAGTTTAATCATTGTTGTATGTCTTTCTTTAAAGTAGTCATCTTTGGGTCTTCAATTTTTTTGGTTAATTCGTTTCATTCCCACTCGTTGAGATATGGTAAACACACCCCTATAGTGTGAAAACTGTGAAGAGAATGATATTCCAACAAATGAGCATGGCTCTGGCTCATTGGCGCGTGCATATACAAGCCACGTAAATAACTAAACTATGGCTCATACTTGCATATGAGTAGGAATAACTAAACTAACTAATTAAGGTATGTATTTCAAAAAAAAAAAACTTATTAAGGTATGAGGCAACTCTGAGTAGAAGAGATAGTACAAATACACGTAAATAAATGATGAAGAATTATAATTATTTCGGATTTTTATTTATTTATCAATGTGAAAGTATATATAGAATATACTTTACAATATTAGAACATACTTCAGAATATTCTAGAAATATACTCCAGGATATTATTATTGTATACAATCTTATATAGGCATGGACCCGGTTCGGGCCACCCGGCTCGGGAACCGGTCCGGCCCGCTACTGTGCAGGACCGGCCTGGCCCGGTGCCTCGGGTCCGAAACCGGTCCTTGGCCCGGTTTGAAAGGTAAAGCGGGGCGGGCTCGGGCTGCTGAAATGGGCACCCGGCCCAAAAAAAGTTTTTTCTTTTTTGTTTTTTCAGTTTTATTGGGCTTCCCGGGTTGGACTTGATGTTTGGGGGGGGGGGGGTTGGGGGGTCAGGGGGTACCTAAGAAAAAAATATTACAACCAGGCCTGAGGCCCGGACCGAGGCCTGGCCCGAACCGGGCCCGGTGGCAACCCGGGCCGGTCCCGGGCCTTCCCCTTAACACAAAAGGCCCGACCGGGCCTAGGCGCGGCCCGGACCCGGACCCGGTTTGGTCCATGACTAATCTTATATAGGATTATTCTATTTGTAATACGGAGTATATATTATAGGGACTTACACAACTAATGAAATACACAGAAAATCTTTCCCCCACTCTTCAATATATTGTAGTTTATATTTCAACATGGTATCATTGCCATCCATTTCAGTTTAGTTTTCATATTTCAGTTTAATTTTTAGACTCCTTCTTTCTCAAAGAACTTGAGTTCAGTTCAAAACCTCTATGCACCATTCTGTCTGCAAGAAACTCAACCCAAGACAAAACTCCTCTACACACCATCACCATTAACCAAAACCTCTATTCAGAACCTTAGTTCAAGCAAATTCAGAATCTCAGTATCAAGCAAACTACCTCAATCTGTGCTGGGTCCGACCATGTTCCGCCAAATTTACGACTACACCATTCCTGCCGGTTCTGACCAGGCGTTGAAAGTACGCAGGTCCAAATTGACGCCCGTCAGCCACACATCCTCTCAAAGTAGTGAAGTAAAAAGTACACTTACAACAATAGCTAATGAGATATCTCCCGGGAGGATGAAAGCGATAACGAGAGACACGAGCAATCCATAGAAGAGAAGCCTTAACCCCATTTAGACGGCAGTCGAGTTTGCACAGTCCTAATCGAAGAGACATTACTGCTCGAGTAATAGAAGTGAAATCATCATCTACCTCTCGTATAGGTTCAAGAAGTGCATCCCTCTTAATGGAAGATTCTTTGTAGATAATGTTATCATTTAGCTGTTTGTGCTATAAAATTTGATGTGGTTTTGAGCCGTTCAAAAGCTCTTTTTTTCTTGTGGGTCCTACTAGGCATGACAATGGGTCGGGGCGGGTACTGCAAGACCCGGACCTGCCCCATGACTTGGCGGGGCGGGTCTGCCCCGCCCCGTGACCTGCACAGGTCCAAATTTGTTGACCCATGACCTCCCTGCCCTGTCCCGTCATAACCTAATTAACTAGTATGTGTTTTATTTGTGGGAAGTTGTTACTAATTGAATCTACATAAAGTTTATCTCTAAATAATAATTAAAAATTAATATATTAAATTAAATTCATGATACCCTAAAAATTCCAAATATTAAGGAAAAATTACTCGGAGTTGAATAGTTAATCTATTTAATTATATTAATAATTGAATATATGTATTAAAATACTATATTTAAAGAAGACATTGATAATCCGTCGTTTATCTCATTCGAATATATATATATATACATTAATATATTATGAGATCAAAGAATTTATGATTTATTGTATAAGCACATATGTATGTTGACGTATATTGTAGTATAATTTAAGAAAAAACATGTATACTTATATATTGAGTGGGTCGGGGCGGGGCGGCACGGGTCAATACTAATACCCGGACCCGCCCCATTGTATAGGCGGAGCGGGGCGGACCCGCCCCAAATGTCTCGGGTCAGGGTGGGTCGGTTTTTTTTTTGACATCCCTAGGTCCTACTGTACTTCGAGTCACTTTATCATTCCTTCATCGACTGTAATAACCAAAAGATCCTGCTTGAGAATAAATTCAGGGGATGAAGAAACTAGCAAAATCTTCTTTTGTTTCAAAACCTTATCAAACACATCCACACACCTCTTGTTTATCGGATAACTTTCGAAACTCCCCATCAATGGGAATTAATTCATACTTTGTACATCTACTTTATTTATTATACTCCGTATGGGAAACTCCCGACTTGGATCGAAAACTTTTGTAAACGCTAAACAGGAAACGCGAGAAACGTAATTTCTAAAAAATATAATATATATATTTTATATTATAAATATAAGGATATATTTATAAATCTTTTTTAATATATATGTATACAAGTTTTTTCATATGTACATGTTTTTTTCATATAATTTGTTTAGTAACCAAACAATAAAATCACTCTACATGTTCGAATATGGAAATTATTTCATATTAGTACATAATGAAACATAAAATGAACGGAGTAATACATTTTTAGCAATACATTGTGTTATGAAATGTAACAAGTGTTGATGCTGAGAAATACCACAAAAATTCACTATTAAAAAAAATTATTTTCCACCACAGAATCTTTAAAAAGGAAAAAAAATTGGAATCCAAGGTTTCCGAAACGTAGTGAAATTACGGAAACGGCCCCGAAACGGGAATTTGAAGTTTCCGAATTTCCGAAACGCTTCCGAGTTTCCGAAACGTGAAAACGTGAGTCGTGGAGAGTTTCTGTGCTTCATAGCGGTTGAGATAACATTCAATTAGTTCACGAATAAAGTAATTAAGAGAAAGATGTTTCACGTGGGAGTGAAAAATGAAATTAACCAAGACCGTCACAGTAGAGAACAGGTATGGAGGATTGAGACACTTATTTTTCTGTTTTCTACTAAAATCTTTTATTATCTTTTTACATTTTATGCAAATAATATATATATTTTTGATCATTGATGCAAATAATATTTATAAAAAATTATGATGGGGCAATGTTTTGTTTTTTGTTCTTCTATTTCCAACTTCCAAGCATAGAGAAGTTTTAGATATAGATGTACTCGGTCATACGGAGTATAAGCAATAATGCATATGAAAATGGACACCACTCGATGTTTCATTCTCTTCGAGCCCTTTCTAGAGGAGATGACTGGATGGTATAAAAAAAAAGGTACACCTTGAAGTTCATTCTCCCTTTGACAATCGCGCGGCATGGGTTCACAAAGGGTTAAAAAATAGCCCATTTGTTACAATAAATGCCCAAACCTAAACGGCTAAAAGTGTACTAATTTTCTTCGAAGTTCAACTCCCCACAAGTCTACAACAAACCCTTAACCAGTAATCATCAGTAATCAATAATAGTAAGAATGATAAAAAAGGATAAAATTCTTCAATCAAATTTCAGAATCCAGTCAAAAGAATAATGAAATAGAAGTAAAAGACAACATCTGAACTATAAAACACAATGGCAGTCTTGAATGTTAAGCAAATGATCAAAGAGATCATTTTTTGTGCAAATTCACAACTTTTTCATGTAGCAGCAGCAGGCGCCAAGAGAGACTTGGCAGGTGGAAGAACAGCAACGGCATCTCTCTGGGGAAGGGAGTATTTCTTGAAGATGACTCTCAGCTTGTGATTAGCAGCCTCCAGATGGTAACCAACCAGCAGCTTGGCGCAGCCCATCAGTTGCCCCTCAGAGAATCCGGTGTGAACTCTCAGCGTATCATTCCAAGCCGGAGTTCTGTTCAACGCACACCTAGCAGCATACACCGCCGACGCAGCGATCATCGACGGGCAGTGAATGACGGCGGCCGCATAATTCATCATCCCCAGCTCTGCCAGAAAGTAGACCATGTTCTCCATTTCTGAATCAGGGACCGCACCAGAGGAAGCCTTAATGAACCGCACGAGGAAAACGTATGGGGTTGGGACGGTCAGGTACCATTCCAGCTCCCCAAGAATCAGCTTCTCCATCTGCAGGACTTGTTCATGTGTGTACGCCCTGTCTGAGATGCACACAAAGTCGTTGACTTCTGGGGCCCAGATTTCTTCGTACTTGGAAGCTATAAGCATGGCACTAATCCCGACTAACTGCAGATCCTTCCTTGCTGTTGCCTTTGATGCCAGGTATCTGTCCACAATGTTGAATGTCAGGTATAGAGTCTCTGATGTCAGTTCGAATTTGTGGTGGACTTCAGTCAACCAGTCAACCAATATTGCTCTCATCCTCTCATTGATCTCCGGTTGTGACTTCATGTAATCACAAACCCTGTTTTCATTCTGGGTATATTTAACAAAAAGACACGATTTTTATCAGAAAAGAGGCACTCACAAATAAAAGATTAAAAGACACGATTTTTATTCATATCAGGGGTTAAAATGAAGACCTCAGCTTCCTTGTAGTACTTGTAGATGTCTTCTACATACTCAACAACTGCCAATTCATTGTATTCGTCCCCAGCATCAATATCTTGAATGAACACATTAGGTTTTTTTATGCTCTTGAGTCCACAAGCAGCCTGTTTTTGCATAGAAAAGAAGAAAACTATCAATTATCCAGACTAAACTCCAGAGGGAGACAGAGAAAATGAAAATAGATATAAACCTTGCTTCGAGCAGTGAGAGTTGAAGTATAGGAAGTCTTGTAAGATGAACCATCATCAGAGGATGATTTTTTGGGAAACTTCTTCTTGTCTTTCTGATCTGCGGTGCCAGGGCTGATTACAATCACCTCCTCAGGATTGGGAGGATTTGAAGTTGGAATAGAAGGTTTCTTCAGATGAGGCTTTCTTGGGATTCTTGCAGGAAATTCTCCTTGATCAAGATTTACAGCCATATGTTTCTGCAATATCAGATTACACCCACCCATGATTAACAACATGACAGGAAATACAATAATGGCTCAGAATCTAATCAAATGAAATGATAAAAAAAAAGTTGGGAGAGAGGGAACCTTGTTCTTGTTGTCAGCGTTAGCTTGTGCATTGGCAAGAAGTTGAGCACAAAAGCCTCTAGTGAGAGGGCGAGAAACCTGAGGAATCTTAACCTTGCCGCCTTCAGCCCCTCCTCGAATTGTAACCAGATTTCCAATATCACCAAGAGCTCTGCGGTTCCTTCCATCTGCCCCAGCGGCCGCCATGTTCTTTTGCTTTTGTCCACCGTTTATTGCCTCTGCAAGAAGAATTATATTCATATTAAGTCAGAAAAACCCTAATATGAAAGATTCTGATACATGGGCTATAAATCAGTCACGATGTTTTTTTTATAATTAACAAACACCCATACTCTTTGTACTTTAATCGGAAACACAGTTTTAAAAAAGACCAGATGAAATATATCAAACAGTTCATGGGCATACAAGAACAGGACTATCATGCGCAGGATTAGGGTAAAAGTGTACAAACGCTGTGCGAATTGGAAAGCAAATCATCGGAACGCTCACACGACTAGAGGGATACGTATCAAGATTCATATTTTCAGAAGAGATTGATCGGGAAGTAATGAAAAATTACAGGTAGAAAATATAAAAAAAACTACGCTCCATAGACCCAGACCTGGAAGTCTGAAACCGATCTAATCCCAGAAAGAAAAGAACGAAGATGGACAAATTAAGAATCGTAACATTCAAATACAGAAACTTGATGATTGATACCTCTGTTATGCAATTGAGCACCGTTTCTTGAAGCCATTCCCTTATGATAAGAATTACAAAATGAGATCTCTAACGCTTTCTTACTGCCTTGCCCTGATTGCTTTTCGTGAATCTTACTTAATCTTTCTGAGATCTCACTTTCTTCCCTCTCTCTCACGCTCTGTAGAGATTGAAGGATTCTTAGAGAAAAAGAGATAGGCGCCTGCTTTAAAGCTATGGAAGGGACGCTTCAACGGTCTTATATTTTTGAAATCTCAGCTCTCTTTGGTAATCCACCAACGGTCTTATTCTCCTGAAATCGCAGTCGATGCCTAACGGAAGATCTGACGGCTATAGATTATTTTAAAATTTAGTTACGCGATGACTTGTAGTAGAGATTAATGTCAGTGCGAAATAAGTCAATATTAGATTTTTCATTAATTTTGAAGTAGTAATTGCATTGAGCATTTACACATCATACTGCGCTCCTATTTATTTATTTGAAATGTAATTAGTATGTACTAATTTATAGATTGCTTGAGTTTTAAATACTGTATGAATTTATAGTCTATACCTTCACTTTTCATGAAATATAAAAGTACAATTTTTTGCTTTTTTTTAATTAAGGAAAGGAAATTTTATTAAAAACAAGCAAGAGAAAGTACAAAGAGGAGGAAGGGAAAAGAAGAAAATAAAAGCAAAAAAAAAAAAACTAAAAGAAGAAGATATGAATCGTGTAACAATTTCTTCTTTGTTTTACATAAGTAATAAAAAGTTATGATTTTACTCCAAAAACTTTAAATATAAATATAAAAAAATAACACTCACTCTAAATTTGAGTTATTTGAAATTTAAAATGACTTTATATTAAAACTTCTATCTGTTAATATTTTTCATCAATACCAAATATTCTCCTACAAAATTACATTTAAAAAAGGAGTCCTAATAATAAAAATATCAACAATATTTAAGGTTCTCTGTGTTGATAGTCCAACCAAAATTTTATCTTAAAAGGTCAGATATGAACTAAAATTCCAATGATAAGAAAAAGATTATAAGAAATATTTCTCAATTATATTTTAGAGGTATAATGATCAGAAGTGAATATCCACGTATTTCAAATAACCCTTTATTTATGGTATGTACATTAATTGTTTGTTCATGTACTCTTCCTACCCAATTTTATATGTTTAATAATAACTATCTAGGTTGTCAATTGGCTCTATTTTATATCTTATTTTACAAATCAATATTTTACCATATAAAGTTAATGCAGTTTAACTGTTGAATTGAGCTCTTACAATAACTTTGTCCCAATTGGTTTCCTACATTGAATTGATACAATAATTATTAATAATGTAAAAATATATGATTGTGGTTGAGGTAACAGGAAAATGTGAAAACATATTAACAAGACAAACAATTCCTTAAAATAAATGAGAAGGAAACTTTGGGACATCATATAAAGGTAATTGATCAAGAAGAAAATTATGGGACAGACATTTTTACTACTTTAATATAAGTATTGCATTAATAAGTAAGATTAAACTTTGGCTTCATTCAAACTTTGTAATCCAAAAGGATTGACATAATTGATCGAGAGAACACTAATATTGTATATCATTTTTAGCTTATACATCTCAAGCTATCATCTGATTTATAAATACTCCGTATTTCATATTCTTGAACTTTTATCTACAATAAAAACTCAAACTATATCTTTTTTAACAAGTACTCCGTATACTTTTCCGTTGTTATTTTTCAAAATTACAAATTTATACGTACTATGAATATCAATACTTTATATATAGTTGTATTAAATAACAAATTTTTGCACACCATAATTATCTACGCACACCACAATTTGAGCAATTAGAACTAACACGGGTTTCATCAAAGGTAAATTTGTTAATTATATATATAAGATTTTGTTTATAAGCAATACAAATTTCTCAACTCAAAACTAGAAACAAATGAAGAAATATGAAACAGGAATCAGATTTGTACGTCTCCTTGAATTTTTTTCTTAAATATCAATATTTAATCCAGTGAGAGTGCAATTGTGAGGGATGTCCCTCTTTTTTATATATAAAAGTTGAAGAATATGATAGCTATTTTAATTTAATTATAATTGATGATGTATAAAGCTAATAATCCTATTTTATAAACTCTTCAAAGGGTATATATATTAATTCTTTTCAAGGCTTTTCAAAATGTATAAGGTTTTTTAGGATTTGGACAAACAATCCCTAGGTTGAAACTTGAAAGCACAATAGGTGGTTAATAGATTATGACGGGGTTATGCGACTAGGCTCAGAGCCTAATCAGTCCAGGTCCCGAACTTGGACCCGTGAGTCCAAGCCCACGATATGAACTAGCAGACCCAAGCCCATGACCTTTATCTCATCATGTCAGCCCAACTAAAGGGCCCAACAACCCAGAGGTCAAGCTGGCCCAACCGATCAAGCCCATCACGGAGCGGAAGTCCAACAAAGCAAGGGTCCAGTTGAGGGGAAGCCCAAGACGGCATGCCTACCGGACCGACCGGAAGCTTGCCCGCAGCCTTCCGACCTAGCTGGGTGCCTGCCTTCCAGCCCATCCAGGAGCCTGTCTCCAGCCCAGCGAGGGGCCTGCCTCCAGCCCATAGGGAAGTCGGCCTTCAAGCCCAGCAGAAGCCTGTCGTCCAGTCCAACGGGAGGAAGCTCGAGCCTCAAACCTGCCAGCCAGGCCGACCTGCCAGCCAGGAAGAGTAATGGTCAACAATTAATGCGCTATTAAGTATGTATTTAATTTCGTATTAACGTTGTGATTAATTACCCATTAGTATATTTGACACTTATCATTTGTAATCGCCTATAAAAGGCAAGTCCGATTCAAATAATAGATATGCAATTTTTGGAAACTAAACCTCTTTAGCAAGTTTTCATTTCCGTACTACTTTCCTAATTACTATTTGAGTGTCTAATGTGGCTTTCCTAAATGCCTACGAAGGTCCTATTTTCCTATTGTGGATCAACATATTATAAATATAATCTCTTCAAATTGGAATTTAACCTCATTGACTTGCGAACCATTTTAGGGTATCCATCTCCCAATTCTATATATTAAGGAGTTGAGTTAGATACTTAGATTCTTATTTTGAATTTCTATGGTGGGAATTATTATTATTATTACACCTTAAATGCAAGAAATGAAGGAGTATGTATGTTCCTTATATCTTATTATGAGGAAAAAATTTATTGCTACGTCATTTCGGTCAATGAACTTTTGGGGTAATTCTATAGTACTTGATATTTATCAAAATTGCTTTCGATCATGGACGTTTCTTAAAGCAACAATAAAATCCCTTACAAATCAGACGATCCCTCACAATCCCGTTATATTCTTTGGGCGTGTTTGGTGTTTCGCATATTAAGGTTTTGTTGGCAAAATCATTCCAAGCAAAGTTTAGATTAACAATAATTTCAAATGTAATATACAATTACATTATCTAATTAGATGTATAATTCATTTTCATAGATGTATTATGTATAATTCATTTTCAACTTGCAGACAGAGTAAGAATGTTTTCATTTCTGATTTCATTTGCACACTAGACATAAACACTTTAGACCAGACTGAATCAGACCAAATTAGACTTGCTCTTACTTAAACATATATCAAGTTAGAGTAAAATAGACCACACTAGACTCTCAAGATAGTAAGATAAACATAATACAATATCATACATATTCAGACCGGTCCAAACTTAAACATGCTAAACCACATTTAAATAGACCTTATCAAATCAGATCACATGCATGAGAATATTTCAATTCAAGTGGATGCATCCCAACTCCATTGCTTTATATTAAGCCGACTATTTTATTACTCTCCTTTAACAAAAATAAAATTTACACAATGGACAACGTATTTTACATTAAATAAACAACTTAAAACATCTTTCACATACACAGGTTTCAGTCTCAGACAAAAAGTCAAAAACAGACTTAAATAGACACGATCAGAAGATTTCAATTTAACTAAAACACCTTAATCCGGATCATTTTGAAACTACTTAGATAATCACATTTTCACGCTCTGCATAAGTAAACAGTAGTAGAATTGACTACTTACCTAATGAATTAATTGTGGACGAAAGTAAATAGTCTATTGTAGTATACATGCATCATATTCTAAAGGGAAAACTATCAAATATATTTTTGTACTATATTCAAAGAGTCAATTAAGTTGTAATACGGAGTATCAAATAATTTTATGGAACAATCAACTTTAAAAAAAAATACTCAATTTGTCTTTTTAAATGATTGATTATGGGTATGGATAATATATTATGCGTAACCACAGACCTAGACACTCACGTGACATTTTTTATTTCTTTTTTGTTTTTTAACGATGGACGGTGTTAGGCTATTTTAAGCTGCCCCTTATAAGTTCTAACTTCTAAGTAGAGAATTACTCAACATTTAGTTAAAAAATGACTATTTAACCTCTTTTAGTGGAGAATCGCGGCCATCTAGGGTTTGTCCCTAGCAGATTTTTCAGCGGCTTTGGCCTGAGCCAGTGCTTCGAGAGTTATCGCTCAGCAAGAGGAGTACTCTGCCTTCAGTTAAGGCGTTTAGACGGGAAGCAGTTTGCACAGTAGTTCGCACAACAGGGTTTGAGCGATTCTGCCGATTCTGTGCGGTGACGAGAGCGATCGAAAGGCAAGCTGCGCGATGGAGGTTTTTCCGCAGGCGTATACACTGGGGAGCGGTGGAGTCCTGTTTTAGATGGGGGAGACTCTTCATGACGAGGGACGAGAACCCTTGTTGGCAGTCGGTGAAGGATGCGTGGAGTTGCATGGGCTTCAAATAGGCCAGACTTCAATCAACAATGGAGGATCAATTAGAGTGGTATCAGGGGTATGGCCTCCTCCCGAACCACCACCATGGGTTGTGCGAGATACTAGAGTCCGTGAAAGTTTTCCAATAAGTTTTCATTATTTTGTCATTTGGTTTCTTGTTATCATCTATGTTGTTAGGTTTGTCAGTTTGTTTGGGAATTTAGCCTTGTTCGATGTCATTGAACGTGTTTGATCTATAGGAATATGGACGGCTGTGTAAGGCCTGTTACATGGTTAGCGATTCATGTAGCTCTTTCAGTGGGTGACCGTTTCTAAGGCTGATCATAAGGTTTACAGTCGTAGTTGTTGGAGTCTAGTTGGTGTCAGATTTGTTTTTCCTTTGGTTGATGTAATGATTCTGAAACTCATGATATGAATAGAAGCTAGTTTTCGTTAAAAAAAAAGCAGCCCCTTACAAACAAAGTACTTCTGATATAACGATTTTTTAAAAAGCCCCCTAAATCAATCCTGAAATTTAGTATTAATACTTGTGTTAAATTAGAGTCACCCATCTCGAAAAATAATACTCCCTCCGTCCCGCTATGATTGTCTTATTTTACCT